TGAGGGAAACTTGAGAAGGCCCTTCCTCAGCAGAGGTGGAGGCCTCAGCAGCAGTCTGGCCATGGCTTGACATCGGGCATGAGGCAACTAGGGTGGGAGGCTGAATTGATGGCCTTCCCCCAATTGCCTCATGCATGGCCTCAAACCATGGCCAGGTAGCTGCTGAGGCCTCTCCCCCGTCTGTTCCTGTCTGGGGGATTCTTTAACTCCTATTGACAACACAGATAACAGACTGTTAGTTAAAGGGCAGTGAGGGCAAAAGCACATTACATTACATTGCATTTAGCTGACGCTTGTATCCAAAGCGACTTACAATAAGTGCATTTGACCAATAAGATACAAACTTCAAGAAACCAGAATCATATAAGTACATTAGGTTTCATAGAGCCAAAACATTTCAAGTGCTACTCACCTGGCTTTAGATAAGCCAGTCCTTTGTTAGTATATAAGTGCTTAGTTAGTATTTAAATGCACACCAAACGAAACATTGTACTAATTCTAAATGTGTAATTGCTTACGCCTTAAATGTTAACAAGTGTAATCAACTAAGCAAATCCACATTTTTATATAGGAGGCTGGGGTCGCCAGTTTAAGTCTGTAGCATAATATCTACAAACACTAACCCACCGCAGTGCCCAGCCATGTGCTTTGCTTTACCTTGTATTTTGTCTTCAGGTTGTCCCATTTCTTTGAGGCCTGTGGACCAGTCACCTGGCCCTCCAGACCCATGTCTTTCACAACCTGCCTTTAGTTACAAATGATCTTAATTCACCATGCACATTTAGTCAAACATTTTATCAGACACATATAGATGTACTTACTCCCAGCCTGATTTGGCAGCATTTCGTTTGCCACTAAACATGTGCTCCATGTTCACCCTTGCACTAATTAGTGCACGGGTTTCTGCATCTGTGACTGAAATAAATACATCATATTAGGCTTGCATGGTACAACGCTGGAAACTAATCATTAAATAGCCTAATGCAAACTGAGCATAAAGGTTTTAGTACGATGTTAACTTTACCTGGATCATTTCACAACAGTCATTTCATATAAGCATTTTGCCAAGTTATGGCGTAAGAATGTAAAAGCTTAAGAGAGCAGCGGTAACTTACATGATCTTCGTTTGTCCGTCATGATCGGTTGTTTCCGTGAACGACCGGACATTCCCTCGTCTTAAATGCCGTGGCCGCAAGGCATTGTGAGGCAGCATTTTCTCCTCTCCTGTCGGTTAGGGAGGTCCAGTGGTTCCTAAGCTAAAGGAGGTTATAAAGGAAGTTTGAAACCTCCTTTCCTTTTAATTTAGAGAATTGGAACGGCACTTATCATGGCTGCCACTGAGGGACTTCCGGGTCATTTCACTCCGTTAGGAAGGTTCCTAAACTAAATGGACTATTCGAATGCAACCCCGGTGTCAGTACCATATGTGTTCCATGTGTTCGCCCTACCATATGTGTTAGGGGTCCGTCGGTTACCAATGACGTCACGCATTGTGATTGGCTGTACGGTAATCGCACGCTGATTGGTGTAACTAGGGGGCGCTGACTGGGGTATACCGGGGGTCTGATCAAAGGATGAAGCTGTTAACGTGCTGCTACCATAAACTGGCTGTAGCCCACAATCTGAAGCAGAATGGTCTAGGGCTGTCCCGAATACCATTTTTCGGGCTCCGGATATTCGGTAGTAATCAGCAGCGAATAATCGAATATTCGGCCCGCGCGGGGGGGCGTAGTAATCAGCAGCGAACCGCTTCAACACGTGTATTTCGGTGTATTCACGGCATTCATTTTGTTATTCTACAGTAGTGTTGTTTTATAGTTATTTGTTAATGTAACCCAATTTGTGTTCTTTGAAATTGAAAAGGATATCGCATTGTGTTTGTTACTTTTGTTGCAGTTGTATACGTCTTAAGTGTAATTTGGCTTCCCTGCTGAAAAAACCAGCATGGACCAGCATGGACTTCATGCTGGTCCATGCTGGTCCATGGTGGTCCATGCTGGTCTTTGATGGTGAAGCTGGTCATTATGCTGGTCTGCCGGCGCAAAACCAGCATGGACCATCTTGGACCAGCATGGACCAGCATGGACCAGCATGGACTTCATGCTGGTCCATGCTGGTCCATGCTGGTCTTTGCTGGTGAAGCTGGTCATTATGCTGGTCTGCCGGCGCAAAAACCGGCAGACCAGCATGGACCAGCATGGACTTCATGCTGGTCCATGCTGTAACATGGTGTGAAAGAAGTAATTATGACATGACTTCAAAATGTAGCTTTTTACTATTTTCGACCATATATAGCAATTTTTCATGTTTATCTTTACAAATACAAATGCATTTTGTTTTTGCGAATCATTGATCTATTCCATAAAGAAAAAATACCCCACAAGCAATGGCATTACGTAAACAAACATTTAAAGAGTTAAAACTCTGATAAATGTAGAATTGCAATGATATAGGGTTGAAATAAGGAGTAATAGCATATAGAAAGCTTATATTCTTGCAATGCTATAATGCATTTTTCAAAACTATAGACCTTTAAAAAGTCACTATGAGACATGGTCCATCTACATTGGCACAACCAACCCCCTGGCTCATTAACTAAGTATAGTTTATAACCTCAATGATGGAGTTATACATTCATATGTTATCAATTAATCTGTTCATTGCTTTTACGATGATGAATAGCTTAACTGTTATTTTTACACAACAGTAAGAAAATACCAATTCAAATGTCCAGAGGCATAGACATTACATACACAATGATATAAAACAGAAAAACAGCAAATCCTCATATTTACAAAGCTGGACTTATTTATAAATATTGTTATTGCTTCATCAATTGTATTGATGTAATATCTCAAAGTGAGAGTATTCACAGAGAGGCACAACTTAAAGATCAGACAGAATGGCCGTTTCTCAATGTCGAGTAAACCTGCTGCAGAGCCACTATTTCAAGTATACTACGTCATCGAGTGGCGCCGAATGCTGGGCATTTAACATGCATTTAAACAGTCATTCGGCGCCACTCGATGACGTAGTCTACTTGAAATAGTGGCTCTGCAGCAGGTTTACTCGACATTGAGAAACGGCCACAAACTGACTGAGCAGCTCCATCGGCTCCTGTGTTGTGCACTGTTTGGGAAACCTAACAGTGAAGCTGATCATAGTTCTAGCTGGTGCTTTCAGGAATATTACAGCTAAATACAAGCTACAGTATAACAACCATTGAGCAATACTACTCCCTCTCATGTGCGTTTGGAAAAGCAACAAATGTGCGTCTGTTCACCCTTCTTTTAAGTCATGAATTTCTGCTCTACCCTGTCACCTGTTTCTCTATTAGAGTACCAGGATGTAGACAGAAGCTGCAACCAAAAGTACCCATTAAACTGTGTGGTGTTTTCGGGTGTTTTGCATTGTAGGTCTTGCCTTTGAGTCTACACAGCAACGAAGTCCAACAGCTTTGCTGTTCACACAGGTTCCATTTTCCCTCCAAGACACCTTTGGATGCCAATGTTTTTGCCTGATCAACAAAGGGTCTGAGAAAAATAGACACGACAGACTCATGGGAACCAAACCAAAGACCTGTAAGCATTACATTCTGGAATCTTTGTGCTTTGTGACGTGCAACAACATGTGACAAACAACAAAAACGTGTGAGTTTTAACATGTTTATTTATTGACTTTTCATTCCTGTATGGCAATATTTAAATAATTAAAGAATATCTTTAGATAAAAGTAATTTATTTGCCAAAAAAGAAACTTGGATATTCTAAACTGATTAGTATAATTTAATTAGTTAAACCTTATCTGTGTTGCTAGAGTTCAAAACATTGCAAGCATTATATATCTATATACGACGTCTACTGCACACAGACAAAATATGTAAGAGAGATGCAGTCTATGGTATTTACTATACAGAGCGGGAAGCGCGTGAACCGCGGGAAGCTGAGGTAGACCTCAGCTCACGCGCTTCCCGCTCTGTATAGTTACATTCGCTCTGTGATTGGCTGAGAGACAGGAGATGTTCGACTGATCCAGAGATCTATAATAGAATTTCTATTATCGGGCTCTGGACTGACCCACACAGCATGTATTTACATCTCTGACAAATCTGGCCCACATCTCTTCCCGGGGGCGCTCCAGAATTCCCTGTCCCCTCCTGATCCTCTCCGGCAATGCTAAAGGCCCCAAGTCCACCTGGGTTGTCCAGGTCTTGGTTTAGGCGAGCAAGGAACGTTCCGGGGAGTGGGGTCTCGCCTGCCTCCAGAATTCTCCCCAGAGTAACAAGTGTGACTGGCACCTAAATGTGGAAAAAGACAACAATATAATAGGATGGATAATGCAAATAACTGGGAGCATCAAATGCATTTATTTGTAATCTACCTGCTTCTTTATGTAGAATGTATATTATAGGGCTCTGGACTGACCCACACAGCAACCACATCAAACCATCAATTAAGCAAAAATGTTTGCCTACGTTAAATACTTGGACGACGGAGTTAAAGAAATCGTTCCAACGTCTTATATTAAGGACTCCAGAAACAGTGCCTTCAAATGGGGAATCCCAATCCATCTATCCAAACTATCACCATTAAGTGAAACCTCTCTTTTCAAGAAATGTTAGATTCTGATACAGAATCCCACGCAAATATTGGAAGTTAGCACATGGAAAAATAGCAGACAGCTTTAGAAAATAATGTATTGGCAATGCAGCAAATCTTATAATATAAGCTGTGTATATTTTGTGTCTGAATATTGTGTATTATACATTTTTATTTTTATAACAACCATGTAAGCAGCATTGTATAGTACACAGGCCTATAGTATAGGCCTTTGTATTAGGCTGTATAGGATATAGGCTTTCCACTGTAACACAGGTTTCTGTTTAAACACATTTCAAGGGCTACTTTTGATTCAGAGTAATCAAACTCAATAGAAATAAGTTATTTCTATTGAGTTTGATATCTGTTGCTCCTATCTGTTGTTCTGCTACGTTATAACGTACAGAACAACAGATATGAGCAGCTGTTGACACCGCCAACAACTAGGGGGCAGCAGAAGCGCCAGAGTGAGTGATTGACGTTTGAATGAGAGAGAGTAGACGGAGACGGAGTGTAAACAAAACTAGATAGCAAATATGGAGAAGGAACGTTATGTTTAATCACTTAAAGAAACACCCTTTTGAGACGAGGACACTGGAGGGAAAGCTGAGAGTAAAAGAGCTCGGACCTGATCAGCCTGACATAGGCAGGGCAGGAGTTGTACAGAGGAAGGCAGTACACGCTCTTTTTCAAGGAGCTGGTTTAGCAAGAAGGCTAACTACCTGCAGCAACACCAGTGCTATATGTTATGTTCCCCTGCCTCCCTTTTTCAAACGTCAGGATCAGACCAGTCTATGGACCAGACCCAGCATGGATCCAGACAGATGTGAGTGACTTAAAGCACATATCAGAAAAAACTAAAAGTATGAACAAACTAGAGTCCACATGGATGATGCTATGCGACTAGCCATGTTTAGGAAAGTAAACACAGCTGTCCAATGAGGGTACAGGATAGGGATCACTCAGTAGCCTAAGCATAATAAGGAGGTTGACAAAAACAGGCACTTGTAGTGATCACTGATTCATACACTGGGGTTACATAATTCAATCCGGGAACTACAGGTTGGGGGTATTGTTTCCGCCCGGACATATATGTTGACGGTACCTCCGGGGTACCTACTGTGTGTCCTCCTCTTTCACTTTCTCTTCTGTTCTCGTGCTGCGACACGACAGCATGTACATTTCTGCTGCTCAGTAAAGTACAGATTTGCACCTTCGATGCACCGCTTCCGACTCCCTTCTCTCGGCACTACATTGGTGACCCTGACATAAGTCTCGCGAAGGATCCGAGACTGACTCGAACACGGCAAGAAGCGCAGCTTCTCTCGAAATGCCGGAGATTCTTGGAGACGTCCGTGGCTGCCTCGTGCGCTCGGACTGAGGCTCGGTGCGCCCCACGGAATGGCTGGGAACGTCGCTCACCATTCCCGCTTCGTCTCGGCACTGGAGGGCAGCAAGCCTTCCTGCTACGAGGAGACGATGCACGACCTGCTAGGTATGGAGGAACCCGACTTCTACCTCGTGGGGCTGTTTCTTCGGGACATGCGGCTGCATGTCCAGGCTGCGCTAGCTAACACGGCTAGTGTTGAGCCCCACGCTTTGGCCGAAGAAGCTTGCCGGTTCTTCCTGGCCGCCCGGCGATTTACCCCAATGGTGCTTGCCACTGCAAGCTGCAGCACCTTCCCTGGTAAGGGCACGCCGCCTAGCAGGGGCTCCGGGGACGACGACGACAGCGACTACCGGCCGTCGAGACCGGCTGGCCTCGACGGCTAACGACAGCTAGCCACGACAGCTAACGGCTAGCTGCTACCAGCGGCTAGCGACGACTGCTAGCAACGGCTGACGATGTCTAGCAGCTACCGGCGGCTATCGACATCCGACTGTTTTTTTTTTGTTTTTGTTTTTTGTGGTGCCGGAGAGGAGGTTCGATCATGTCTGGTCGGCCTCGCGTGGATCCTCTCGCTATTTCGCCCACCTGTTTTTGTTCGTGGACGGGACGACCATTTTTGAGCTTTTTCTGGTGTCTGAGAGGAGGTTCGACCATGTCTGGTCGGCCTCGTGTGGACCCTCTCGCTGTTTTCACCACCTCGACGGCGGCTTCGGACGTCACACAGTGGGCGCTTCTGGACCCCGTCTCGCCTCTTCCCTCGCCTCGGCGGTTCCGGACGTCGCCCATGCCTTCATCGGCCCGTGGGTGGCGCGCTTCGGGACCCTGCCTGGCATCGCCTCTTCCCTCGCCTCGGCGGTTCCGGACGTCGCCCATGCCTTCATCGGCCTGTGGGTGGCGCGCTTCGGGACCCTGCCTGGCCTCGCCTCTTCCCTCGCCTCGGCGGTTCCGGACGTCGCCCATGCCTTCATCGGCCCGTGGGTGGTGCGCTTCGGGGCCCTGCCTGGCCTCACCTCTAACCGCGGCTCACGGTTCGCCTCGACGGCGCCCCGTCTGGCCTCTCCCCTGTCCACGGCTCCTTCCTCCCGGGGACACGGCTCCTTCCTCCCGAGGACTTCGTGCCCGCCGCCGCTGTGCCTTCGCCTGCGGCCGGGCAGTGCTCCTCCCTGCTGGGGACCACCGGGTTTTTTTTTTTTTTTTTTTTTTTTTTTCTCACGCCCGTCCCCTGGTCTCGACACAGCGACCCTGCTTTCTGCGGCCCCCTGACGACGGCCCGTTCCGGCCCGCCGCCCGCCCTCCGGTGGGGATGCCCTCGCCTTCGTTGGGGCCCCTACCCTCTCCTGCGGCCCCCTTCCGACGGCCCGTTCCATGGCCCGCCCTCCTCGGCCCCTGTGGTGCTTCCTCCCGACGCGAGGATTGTGTCCATGGTTGAATTCTGGGGGGGCTTGTGTAGTGATCACTGATTCATACACTGGGGTTACATAATTCAATCCGGGAACTACAGGTTGGGGGTATTGTTTCCGCCCGGACATATATGTTGACGGTACCTCCGGGGTACCTACTGTGTGTCCTCCTCTTTCACTTTCTCTTCTGTTCTCGTGCTGCGACACGACAGCATGTACATTTCTGCTGCTCAGTAAAGTACAGATTTGCACCTTCGATGCACCGCTTCCGACTCCCTTCTCTCGGCACTACACACTAAAATAATAGACTGTATCAAGTGCTGTGTGCCTTTGAGCTAGCCCTGCGTTGTAATATGAGTTTGTGTATAAGTTTGCTTACATTTTGGTTCCCCCCTGGAGAAAAATGCACCAGCCGCCACTGCATTACATAATAAGATGATTGACATCGCTTCATGCTATAATGACAGCTCTTAGAAGAACATTCTAGAATTCAAGATTCCAGAGCAGTGTCTCGTGCGCAAAAGAAATAGGTAGCGCGTGAGGCCAAGAATGTGTAAAAGTAATCCGTTCGGCCCGAAACATCTGTCAGCCAGGATGTTTTCTTATGTGAAATACACGGACGGATTTAAGGCTATTGTAGCTACCTATAACAAACATCCAAAACTTCAACCTAAAAACATATCAAGCGGACATCCTCTATCCCATTCTTTGGGAAGAAAACATATTTCAACGGCCAGGTTCTGCTTGTGAAAGGTACGAATAATTAGGCTACCTTAACATTAATAATTAATATGCGAGTAGCCAACGGCTTATTCTAACCGTTAGACTCTAACGGCTAGAGTATGCAGACTTATAAGCCGTATATATATGTTATATATATATATATATATATATATTAGCCTATATATATAATATATACGTTACTAGTACGTTAAGATGGCTTACTCTAACGGTTAGAATAAGCCGTTGGCTTACTTTAACGTTAGAATAAGCCGCTTACTTTAACGGCATACTCGTTACGTTGACGTAAACTACCGAAATTAAAGTAAGGTGAAATCATTACCATGGACATTAAACATTAACGTTAGCTTCACTTACCTTTTGACAGAAACCCAAGAGATTGAGGACTCAACATCAAATCCTCCAAAACGAATCAGAGTTCCAAGGATCCAAGAAGATGTAGTTGATGTTGATCATTGTGAAGGGGAATCCACAGAAATGGATGCTCTCAAAAAGAAATCGGTATGTTTTTCTTATTTTTAAGGAAAATGTTCTGAAAAATGCATCTTCTGCTTCTTCCTCTTCTTCTTCTTCCTGGTGCATGCTGGGAGATTTTCGGAGGGTGAAAGAAAGAGAAGACTGGTTGTGGACTTGAAGGGAACGACTTCCTGGCCTTCCTGACATCCAGGAAAAAGGTGAGATTCAAATCCATTTTAATGCCAAAAGTAAGTTATTGTTTTTAACTTTTTAAATATGATTTTTTGGGGCATTTCTGTTTTATTGGAAAGAGGCAGTAGAGATGTACTGGAAACAGTGGAGAGGGAGAAGATGCAGCAAAAGGCCCAGCCGGATGGTTGCTGCTCCGTGTGGAACGTGTTCTCCAGTATCAGGTAAAGCACCAGTTATTTCTGAGTCTGGATTCAGCCTTTGGAATGTCATTTCCAACAGTGCATTGTAAAGACTGAACGATTTCAAGCTTCACATGATTTGGTCTTTTACTTTAGAGGATGTTTGTCACTGAACTTCTTTAATGCTTAGTTTTTGGATTGATGATATTGTTTTGTTCTTTATTTTTGTAGTGAGAATCACTTTGCAATTGTGTAAGTGCTATATAAATAGTTATACTAATATTATTGTTGTTACCATCATTGCTATTATTAACAATGTTTTCTTTGTTGTCTTTCTTTATCGCTGCAGAAAGGATCATGCCAGCCCACATCAAACACCTGATCAAGAACTTGAGAATCTTCAGGCAGAAAAGATGAAAACACCTGTTCAAAGTTCCAGTTCCCTGTACATCAAACGATGCCTGTCCTCTGTTCCACATGTCTTCAGTCAGTCCTGGACCCTATGACTAGGACACTAGTTCTACCAAGGCTTAATAGAGGTAAGCAGTGGTAGGAGAGGAGTTATCTTTGTATTTAGGCTGCAAGTCGACAAAGGTGATCAGATGCTGATGCTAATAACCATCCGAGTCATTTGATATTGATTGTCTGCTAATACCGAATCCTGATCCGATTCTTCTATTTCCCAGATAATACAGCTGCACAATTACAACAGGAACTAATCTTTAGACGGTTAATACAGAAGGTACATTTCATGTTTGTGTTTCTACCAGTCATAGGGTAACAACAGATTTGACTGGTGGTAGGCTAAAAGGCTGTTTTGTTGATCATTTTATTTTTCATTACATTATAAAGATCTGCTAAATTGGAGGATTCCAAAGCTGAGCTGGAAGGGGAAGTCTCCACCTACAGGACAGCACATCTAAACATTCATTTGGATAAACTATTAAACCAGGTATTTTCACAAAGTAAGTACATTTGTTTTTAAATTGCAAGCAAATAATAATGACAGTCTTGGATCGATTTTGCATTTGAACTTTCATCAGCAACTGCAATAAAAGAAACAGACAAGATGGCAGTGAAATGTGTAAACAATCAGCCCATCAAGATATACGCATATGAATTTATACTATTGTTGAAATGTTTTTGTCCTTTCTTTGTCTTATTCACATTCTGTAGAAGAACAATCTGAGACCCAGTGTGAGCCTGCACCCTGGACACCCACACACCCCAATAATCCCCCTTCAAAGAGCGAGCCGCATGGGAAGGTATATATTATTTCCATAGTGGAGCCTTTTTATTTTTGCTCCTCAGTCTCATATTGGTGTCTACCTTTTATGTATAGGCTACTGGACACATTTGATGTTTCAGATTGTTGTCATTCACTTGCAAGGGGAGATTCCAGTGCGTCCAGAGGTCTGGGCAAAAATAAAAAACAACACAAGGGACTCCATGTTCGTGAAGGAGTTGGCTGTGGCGTTTTGGGGCACCGACACCTTAGGGGAAAGGAGCCTGACTGGAAAGGAATGCCCCACCACCAAGACCACCAGGCAGCCCCTCACCCTGCAGAAGCTATGGGGTTTGAAAGGTATGTTCTTAGCAGCACTAGCCACTTGCTCTTTGTGCGATACCAAGTTCTTGGTTATTTGAAATGTAATATTGATGATGTAATAATTAAAACTAGGGATGGGTACCGAGCCCCGGTATTAACGGGGCCCCGGGGATGAATTATTAAAGACCGTGGTACCGTGGTACCACCAGCATGATCCACCAGCATGGACCATGCTGGTCCATGCTGGTGGATCATGCTGGTCCATGCTGGTCCATGCTGGTGGATCATGCTGGTGACCAAAACACAACATAGGCTGGTCCATGCTGGTCCATGCTGGTCCATGCTGGTCCATGCTGGTCCATGCTGGTGGATCATGCTGGTCCATGCTGGTTTTTTCAGCAGGGACGTCTTTGCCTTTAGACTGCGTTACAAATATACGTATATTATTATGTTCATACATGCAGAAAGTACAGAAGACAGTCTGTCTTTCTGTCTGTCTGTCTGTCTGTCTGTCTGTCTTTCTGTAACTATATTTTAGAGTTTAAAGCGTAGCCACTTTTCCTCCACTACATGTATTTAATACCTTTAGTTACTTCACAGATGTGGATGAATGATGTGAAATATAATCAAGTGTTAAATCAGACTTTAGTTCCTCCTGGAGTAAATCCACAAGCTACCCTGCAGTATACAAAGTCATTCAAACTAGCTGCACCTTTACCAGCTTTGAGAACACTTTCATGATCAATCATTATAAAACATATCATATATATTATTCTGAAATGGACCAATCTGCACAATGACTACTTTTACTGTCGCTACTTTCACTATATTTTGATGAGAATACTTTTATACTTTTACTTGAGGAACATTTTGAATGCAGGACTTTTACTGTAACAGAGTATTCCTACACTCTGGTACTTCTACTTTTACTCAAGTACAAGATCTGAGTACTTCTACTTTGACTCAAGAACAAGATCTGAGTACTTCTACTTTTACCACAAGATCTGAGTACTTCTACTTTTACTCAAGAACAAGATCTGAGTACTTCTACTTTTACCACAAGATCTGAGTACTTCTACTTTTACCACAAGATCTGAGTACTTCTACTTTTACTCAAGAACAAGATCTGATTACTTCGACAACCTCTGATTAATGGCTGATTTCCAAATGTTCTGTTGGTGCGTGGATGATAAAATAATAGCGTTTGATTGTATTGCCTTACGTATGCAGCTATTTGCCTGTGTTTAGAAACATAATTAAACATACCATGGACACACATTCAAACAATTCTCCATTTATTAAACATTGCAGATGAACAATTAACAAGTCATACAGCTAAAGAAAACTACAACAATTATTTTCTGTATGATGATATCATGGAACCTGGAATTTGAACACACACCACTTAACAATAAACAATAAACTTAACAATAAACTTAACAATAAACGACTGAACTGCTGTCCACTTTAGGGGAGGGCCCTTAAAGCATCCAGTGCTGCAGACAGTCCAGCAACCTGGGTATACACTGGCTCCTGATCCCTGCACTTGCCTTTACACGTATCTTCTTACAATGTCTATGAGATCCTTTATCCCGTTTTGGAATGGTGCTGGCTGGTTATGAATGGCACGCTCAAAGAGTTCAGCAATGTCCGCATAGTTCGTTGCAAATTCTTGTTCAGCTGCTGTCTGGTGCTCCACAGTGGCAAATGGGTTTCTCCCAAACAGCGACACTCGTGTCAGAGAGGACCCCACTTCCTGGTAATAGCAGTCTGCAGCATCTGTAGCTTCAGGCAAAAGATCTGCAGGCAGTCTCTTTGGGCATCCACCATGAGCAAGTTGATCTGGGATACCCTTACCTTAAAAGAAAAGCACAAATAAGTGGCCATTGTTAGTGTAATGTTACATATCATGCATATCAATGAACCTCACACAGCGTGTAATCATGGCCTGCCCTTACAACAAATGTTACTTGTGCTATTAGTACACTTCTTACAAACTTTAAAAAGTATGTTTTTAATTTGACTGTTTATGTACTTACCAGATATATATGTTTCATGCAATAAGAGCAATCTATAAACTAGATTAGATATGTCTTTACTCAGACAATTATTGAAATATTGGAATATATACATGCCACATTTAAACATTTCCATCAACCTAGTGTAAAAAAGGGGATACAGAGAGAAACAAATGTAGGATATAAGTACAACTTATAAAAATGCATAAAGAAGGTCATTTGTTATGGGGCTTAAGTAACATTCTGAAAACTGCTATCCAAACCTTGGATTCTGTTCCAGGACTGCACCATCCGGGCAAGTCCAATGTTGGCTACCTGACAGGTAAGAGTGGACACACAATATCGTGTGATGTTGTCTTCAAGGTTTAGTTCCTCCTGGTCAACAAGGTGGTTGAGTGCGCCTTTCAGAGGGTAGTTTACCCTGTTGTTTACCTCTGGCCACATCCTTTCTATAATATGATTCTGTCATTTCAAGTAAACAAAAATGAGAAGAGTCAAATGTAGAGAGCACATTGTAATTTCCCAATTTCCGGCTTTGTATTTGATCCATTTCCTGTATCCAGTTCAAAAGTACTGTGTATCTCTCCTATGTGTAGCAGGATGAGAGTCCTAATCCCTTGTAAAGCATATTCTCCTCGTTTGGCTCCTGTGAGCATATCACCACCAGGGGGCACCCTATAAAAGGGCAGAGGTTTCTAGCTAGCTGTCTCTTGTTTGTTGGTACACAGACCCGCCCCACTTGCGTGTTTGCCGTGTTTGCTTCCGGTGCAGGTATGTTGCAGTTGCATTGCTCGCTTCAGGAAAGGTTCTGCAATTTGCCAGCGTATTGATACTTAGCCCTGCTTTGCCTCACCTAGTGGAGGATCCTCCGGGTGCAGCCTGTCAACGCAGCCATAGAAAGCATGAAGCTCTCTCCTCTCTGCGTCATCGATAGGAAAGCCTGATCGGTATGTGCGCTGTACGGCCATCTCTTTGGTCAATCCACCTCATTACTTTTATTGATATTAACGCTGTCTTTGTATTTATTCATAAACCTAGGGCCAATCCAATGATTAAGGGACATCTGCTGTTTTGCTTCACCGGAGAAAGTGTATTTATCCGCACAACTGCTGTTGGTCCTGCCTAAATGTTTGGGCTACTGCTGCTATATTGCTGCTTCTGATTGCTGCTTCTGGCCAGCTTTGCGTCGCCTACTGCGGAGGCTCGCTCACCAGTTAAAGTGCTGCTTTAACTGAACGCCTTCCTGCTGCCTTGCTTGGGCCGACACTCGAAGTGTGGAAGTCATTGAACTCTGGGGCTAACTCCCCCCTATAACTTGTCCTTACTTTGGCCAACTTGATTTAAATTAGTTTGTTTATTTTATTCTAGTTAATTGTTTATTTTGTTTAACTGAACCTTTTCTCTTGTGATTTGTTTTATTCTTAAATGTTTACACAAGTTATCTGTTTATGAGAACATATTTGCTATTGTGTTTATTACTTTGATTTACTTATTTAGCCCCCATTAACTGCATTTCCCTCTTTGTTCCCCTACTTAGTTACTGAGAGCTGAAGGTGGTGGTGCTGGTGTCCAAGGTGGTGGTTTTCCTCTCTCCTTTTGTGTGTGATGTGCTCCCCCGGGATTTGATTTCCTGCACGTATGACTGGGGTGATTTAAGTTTGGTTTGTTTGGGGATCCTTCCACTCACTCGTCGACCCTATCCCCCCACTGGTAAGCCTCAGCCCCTAATTCATTTGTTCCCTTTGTGCTACAGCCCTGTGCGACTGTTTTAAACTGCATTTTAAACTATTGACTTGTGCTAAATAAAATTGTATATTTTTGATAAATTGAAACCACGTCTCTGGCTCCATTAGTATTCCAACCTATGTGTCCTCTGAAAAAGTGTTAATATTTCCTTGGGTGAAACTCCCAGGGTGGCGTTGTCGGAATTGTGAATGGTGTAATCAAACCAACTTGAACAAATACATTCACCTATCCTCCCCTCTGCGGCTACTGCCACATATGTCATAGGAAAAAGCTAGCAGTCCCCTAGAGAAGTTTAGTGAACGCCATGGGTCTATTGACAGCTTTATCAGCTAGCAGTTGGGTGAATAATGAGATCAGAAATCTTTTATTTGTTTCGCCACAGGGTAATTTACATGATTACAACAGCAGATAAAGTGAGGAGTAAAAGACAGAAATGGCGATGTGGGGATTGTCCACAGTATTGAGTATGTAAGTCGCTTTGGATAAAAGCGTCTAACAAGTAACATGTCATGTATGAACACGTTGATTGTAATTCAGATAAAAAAACAACTGGCCTGTGTTGACTTTGTTTGCATGTATGGCTGTCTGCCTGTGTTATTCCGGTAGTCTGCCAATTTCTCCTGCATGAAAAGAGTCAAGTAGAATTATTTTCCATGGTCTACTCGGATTTGGTCCCACATTGCATATCGTAGGACAGCACTCCTGCAAAACAGCAATACAAAAGTCTTATGACATGTAACAGAATTTCATGTTTGTTGTTACAACCTAAGCATTGCTAAAGCGAATTGTTTACGCAGTTAAAATGTTGATCTCATCAATCAATTACCAAGTAACGTACAATATACAGTGGTTACCTGTCAGTAGTTTAAGAAGTATTCGATTTACAATATGTTTCCCAAATAAAACAGTTCAAATAAAGCTACATTTAGCCATTGTGTTTTTATTTAACTAAACGTTTACTAAATTATTTACTGTCTGCTGTTTGCAACCTTTTTATTAGGTTATTACTATATTATTATAACAGAAACAGGGCACTGAAACTTACTGGTAAACCTCTTGATATATGGTCAGGTTGTTTTTCACTGGCATGGTGGAGTGGCTTACAATGTTGCTGGAGAATCCGTCCACGGCAAGGACGTGGGTCACCCCATACATCACCAGTTTCTCGTTTTGGTCAATGTGCAATTTGTGACCCATGTACTCTGCACTGTATGGCACTGGATTTAAATTCCTTAATCTCTGAGGAATTAAACACAATGTTATTGTTCTCACAATATGTTCACAGCAATGTACAATACAGGAAAATCTAGATGTTTTGAATAATACCTACACGATACCGATCTGCATGATATGGCTGGTTCGTTTCTCTGAGGACACGACCAACACGCCCCTCTGATGCTCGGATTCCTTTTGAGGCCAGGTAACCAGTCATCATTTTTCTTCCATATGTTGGTCCAGTCTGAATTTGTAAACACAAAACTAAAACTAAATAGGACCAAGGTACGTTTTAACCGTTTGTTTTTTAGTTCTAATTGAAACCAAAAACCCCCAGAATAGTTATCTCATTATTATTTACACAATTATGTCCAAAGTTATTAGTGAGTATTTCTGTCACATCATTGTTAAGCCTCAACTCAGCTCCTACGTCTCAAAGAAAACCCATAATTCAGGGCTCGTTAAAATTGTTTGTATTGTGAGAATAATCAATATACAAATTAAACCGGAACTTTAGTCCACTGATGTATTGTTCCCCCACGGACCAATATCGGGGGTAGTAGCTTCCGGAACCGGAAGTTGCATTGTTTTTAGCATTCACAGTAGGATGTAGCATATCAAGCAGCATTAGTGAAGAGATGGATAAAAACGCGTGTCGTTACATACTAAACACACCGTCTCCAACTGCCACTCATCGATGCTAACATATCAACTGTTACTATATGGTTAACAATCATGTATATAGCTATTTAAATGCTTATGAAGGGATGTTTAGCTACGTCAATAGAGTTTATAATCGGATTTGAAACGTTTATATGGCCCCTCTCCCGTCGCAGCCTCAGAGGAACGTCATGTTTACTATAATTAAAACCCTGTTAATTTTACAAGAAGTTTCTTGGATTCTTTCTGGCCATTTACTCCTCCCAGCATCCCGAAACCCAACAGTATAGAGTGGTGCAGTGACGCGTCCTAAAATCATAAATCTTTCGATTCGATTTATGATTCTAAAATGATAAAAGTAGGGTAGACATGTGGAGATTATCCGATTTAACAAAACGTGATCCGTCTCTTAAATGTGTCTCAACCACAGACTTTATTTCGAGCTATTTTCCAAAATCCTATGGAGAAATTGCATTGCTTTTTTGTCGAGGGAACCAGAAGGAACTTACTTCCGGGTTTTAGGACGCGTCACTGCACCACTCTATTACTATGAAGTAATAAGTGCAGTACTTGATCTACGTAATTACTTTACATCACTGGATTAAACCATAGGCCTACCTCACCTCAACAGCTGCTTTAGCAACCTCTACTTCCAGTTGGGAATCGTGCACTCGCTCTCTGCCTATACCATTTTGGGTACAAAAGCGACGGATGTTTGTTTGGGAGAACCCTTTTGTTAAGCCACATTCATACTGGAGATGATCGGATACATTTTGATCAGTATAACCATCTTTTATCATACTTTGTATAACTTCTCTGTAGGCCAACAAACTGGACTCCATTATTATTATTAAGGAGGGTGACTATATTTCCCGCGATCAAACTTTCCTGTCATGCGCAGTAGTCCTGGTGTAAATTGATGGTACATTTACCACACCCTCTTTTAATACCGCCAAGAACGACTGTCGGACACGGCGATAGCAATATATTGTTAACAATAAAGACGGAGATGGAGTCATACTTTCTTTTCAGAGGCAGCCAGCGAGTTACTCTTAAAATAGACGACATGCGCGTCGACAGAATCAGCCGCATTTTTCAGGTATTTTTAAGAGATCTGTGATTAATTATTGATTGAACAGGCACATGGTGTGTTAACGTGTAACAAGCTAACCTTGTTTCAATAGCAATAAAGCTACGAGTCATCTGGACGAGAGAGTCAGTTAATCATTCAATTTAAAAACAAAACAATATTTAGATATCACATTGTAAATGGGGAAGGATATTATTAGGATTTGATCGATACCGATACTGGTGCTTATCCATACTAATATATCGATATTCTTACCACTACACCCTCCTTCATTTGGTGCACAAAAATGTGAAAAGATTCAATGATAATTATTTTATATGAACTGTTTTGCACAAATAACTGCAGAACTATAATTGAACTTTTCAGAAGCGAAGCAAGAAGAAACTTTAATAACTTAAAAACAGCATTTACTTGGTGACAGCCCTGAGACAATTTAGTCGTACAGTCCAGCAAGACATTTATTTATAAACGATATCAGTTGTACAGGCGTTAATCTTGTCATTGACATTTAGATTGATACTGAGGTCTGATATAGGTTGTGTTGGCATACAAATAATCTGGAGGATTAACTGCATGTTTTTTTAATACAATGAATAAACCACTACCACCATTGAAACGACACAAAGGAAGAAATGATGCAAGGACACACATGGAAAGACAGAGAACAATGTAGTGATTGTTTCAAAGGAAATTGTGAAATATAAATAACCTGTTATTTTCTTTTAGGTCAACGCAGGTAGCCTTTTCATCACTGATGCCGCCAACGTTGCGGTTTTTCCTTTGGATAGTGGGTGTTTCTGCTCCCTGGACCTCTCTGATCACGGTCATTATGAGGTTCATGGGGACACAACTGGGGAGACTCAAAGGATCCAGACAGAGCCAGCTGAGTCACGGCCGTTTGCTTTTCGTCATAGTCAGCCAATGTCTACTGCAAACATGAGTCAGTTGACTAGATCAAGTAGCACCGCTCGGTCATTTCAAAGGTAATGAGATGCCCATTTCATACGTTGGCATGCTTTAGAAAGTTACGTTTTAGTCCATGTTGCTAACTAAATGTGTGTCACTGTTCTTTTTGCATTACAGGTCAATACATGTGTCAGACATAATGGATGGAAAGATTGTTTCCACAAGGGTGGTCATGATCAGATGTGTTGAATCAGAGGCTCTGATCTGAGGTTCCACTGATCACAGGAAAAGTGAATGTGGCCATGGGAGACAGTGAGGAGTACATCCTTACAGACACCGTTGGGAATGAAATCGTTGCGTCTGAAGGGACAACTGGTAAATATAATTATTCTATATTTCATTTTCATTTGTGCAAAAGATAAGGGTCTGAAAGTGCTATCAGTACAACAATGTGCCCCTTTTAACATTTTATTTTCACGTGTCTTGACTCTTTATTTCTCTCATAAAGGGTCTTTGTACTGGAAGCCGAATGCAAGAAAGATCCATGCTGTTGAGAGTTCTGCTTTCAGGCAATGGCGTCGAAGAAGCTCAAGAAGCAGGTGTGGTTGGATAACAAAACTGATTTTGTCTGGAGAAGGTTTGAACTGGTCTATCAATAGGGGAAATAATGTAATGTGTAAAGAAGGGCTCAAACCGAAGGGTCACGATGTGCAGCATTTCACTTTATTTTACTCGCTAACAACAGACTGGCAAAAGCCTCTCATTATTTGAAAAAGGCTGCTTTCTGGCCATTTAGCATTTTTGCAGCTCAAGGGCTATATGTCGCGTTTCCACTACACGGCCTCGCTCGGCCCCGCTCGGTATGGCTGGGCCGCGATTGGCCTCGTTAGGACCAGCTCACTTTATGGCGCGTTTCCATTACAGTTTAGGAACTGGGGTAGTATCTATAGTAACAGTGTAGGCGGAGCGACGCTGCTTAAAACTGCCGTGACGTCATCTTCAATGCGACACAACAATGGAGGCTGTGAAGATGTGAAAGCGATCGTTTGCTTGTTTTTTGCTGTGTGGTTTATTATCACAAGAAATAGACAAGAGTTGTTTCGAAAGAGGCGACGTATAGCAAGACGAGGTATAGAAGAAGCTGACGCGAGAGTTCGGGCAGTCCTCCTACGCCGCAGAGACTACAGGACGACTCGAATCACTACTAACTACAATGCTACTTGGTAAGCTAACGCAATGTGTTTAGGCTCACGCTCCCTATACGACCAAAGTATTTCAAGTATTTAATTAATTGTAGCTACCACTTTTACGTATTAAAATATGTATGCTTTTGTTTGTGTATTTCAGAAGTTACCGACCGAGCTACCGAGTGGTGGAATGTGATTGTTCCATCTTTCACACACTCAGTGGAGAACTTCAGGATGCCTGAGGAAAACCTACGTCTACCAGGGGTAGCAGTGGCACAAAGTGCAGAGGAGGGCAGGGACATACGAGAGGGTCTGATGCGCTACCTGAATACCTAGAATGTATAATGTAATACCTAAATATTCATTGTATTGTATTGAACATAAATACATCTTTTCTTTTTCACATACATGTGTTTGTCAAATTATTTAAACCAAAAAAATGTTATCAGAATTGACTATTTAGTAAATATTTGAATTTCAAGCACCAGTACTGCCCCATAATAACAATAATCTAATAAATTAAGCAAATATCAAAGCAAACTATAAACATAAATACAAAAGTGTAAAACACAACAGAACTATATTCATAAATGCAAGTGTAAAAAATTGTTAACATGGATGGAGGCTAAAGTATCCACAGCATAAAATAATATGATTATGATGGTTTGTCTGAAAGACACAGCCTCAAGGTTCAAGGTTTTTTATTTTGTCATACGAACATAGCTAGTGTAGTTATGACAATGAACATCTTAGGTCACAGGCTCCTCCAACAGTGCAACACAATAACCCAGATCAACAGAAATATAGTGCAAGTAAATATTAAGCGCTGTGCACCGCTCTCTTTGTATAGGTGTTTTCTTTTGTTCTCTTCTCTTTGAAATATATAAGCAATGTGTTTGAGTCTAGCACAACGAGGGTATTACAATTGAGTAATTTTTACTACATGTATTCTTAATACCATTATGTAATGTTATGTTTTAGAGGAGGACCTCAAGCTAGCAAACTCAATTTCAAACAGTATGCAGAGTTGTCCTGCTAAAGAGTTAAAATGTTTTATTTAACCAAGTATTTATTCTCTTATTTGCTTTAATTGCAACAGATGATAAAGGTTTCACTGTGATAAGTATTCTCTTAAATCCATAAACCCCTGTACAGTGCTTTGTGGACGATGGTGTTTATGATATTTCTGACTGCAGAGGGACGCCTAGATGATGCCATCTTTCTGTGCGATCGCTGGTGGGTGCAATTATTTATCAACAAGCAATAAGATAAGACATGGCATTGATTCTGCTGGGCCAGTTGCCGTTCCTGCAGGGCCAGATCCTCTCCTCCTCGGTTTGTGCTGTTGATGCAGAGGACGTTGTTCGGAACTGTTCCTCCTCGCTAGTCCCAATGTAATCATCTAGAACAGAAACATGACTTGTAAATTCCACAAACTACTGCAGCACAATACTATAAATAGCAACAACAACTATAGAAAAGACAAACTGAACGTAAACAATGGCACATATGGTGTTAGCAAACAATAGCTCTCGCTAATGCTATCTGCCTAGCTAGCCTTCGGGGCTCCATAAAAGCATGGGTTGTCGAACATAAATGTAAGGATAAAATAGACTTATTTGTTAGAAGTGAGCTTTAAAACAGATAGGGACACAAAGCAGGGACACAAAGCAGGGACACAAAGCTTTCAAGCAAATAACAGAGCGTTAGCAAAAACGTACCATGCAGACTCCAGTAACGCCAGTGTCTGTGTAGAGACCTCCTGAAAGACTTTGATATTGCGAGTTGTCCCGTCGAGCACCCGCTGGACCTTATCATCTGCAATATAATGGACGTCGTCACTTCCTCGACCGACCATGGTGTGCTTTTCTTTGCCATTGTTGTAGCTCCTCTGTTAACAAAAATGCTGTTTGTAAAAATGGATTATCTTGCGCGCCGATTGTGACGATTCTCTCCGACCAATCAGCAGCCGAGAGCGTTGACGTCACAAACTCAGCCCGGTTGTCTTTGACCCTGGCCCCACGATTTTATGAGGCCAGAAAAACTGTGAATTAGGACCCGCCGGCCGGTACTAGGCCAAGTGGAAACGCAACCACAAACGGGCCGCTGACGTCACAGCCCTCTTAAACCGGGCTGCGGGCTGTAGTGGAAACGCGCCATTGCCATCTGGGGCAGGCATGCATAAGCATGGGCTTCACTGTAGCACACCTCAGCACTCTGTGGGTCAGCACATGGTATGAAGAGTCACAGTCAACATCAGTTCTACAATCAGCATTTATAAACAATATCCTTTAAATGTAATTTCAAGAAATGAAATGTTTCCACACGCTCTTGTTTATTTAGCATCATCTAATTTGCCATGGAACAGATAACTTTCTTTTATCTCTAATAAAAAGAAGAACAAATCTTAAATGACTGCTAATACTTAAACTATTTTCAAACTGTGACAAAAACAGAAATGAGGTATCTGAAGTCCACACACTGAGCAACAAGGTGGAGGAACTGCTGGATGCATCCCAAGGCCTGGAAGAAGTCACCAGGAAGATTTCTGACATAGTGGCAGCCAGCCATGACTTGGTACCAAGGCCAGAAGTCAAACAGGCATTGAGCTGTTTGATCTGCAGAGGTATCGCTTTCATCCTCTCTTTGAATAATGCTCAGTGTAACAAACAGTATTTAAAAAATAAAACTTATCGGTGCCGGATTTTCATATTATTCTAAGTTAATCTTTTCAAATCTATTTCTCAACAGTATCTTTCTCAGTTTGAGTGCATGCTTCAGAAATACAGTCCATGACATCAATCAGTAACTATCAGCACATCTTTAAAAACCTGTCTTTTTTCTTTTTAAAGAAACAATGACTGGACCCATGTTTTCCTCCTGCTGCCGAAGCATCGTGGGATGCAGGCTCTGTGTGGAGGAGTGGAGGATAACATCTCCCCGATGCCTTAAGTGCAGGGATCAGGAGCCAGTGTATACCCAGGTTGCTGGACTGTCTGCAGCACTGGATGCTTTAAGTGCCCTACCCTAAAGTGGACAGCAGTTCAGTCGTTTATTGTTAAGTTTATTGTTAAGTTTATTGTTTATTGTTAAGTGGTGTGTGTTCAAATTCCAGGTTCCATGATATCATCATACAGAAAATAATTGTTGTAGTTTTCTTTAGCTGTATGACTTGTTAATTGTTCATCTGCAATGTTTAATACATGGAGAATTGTTTGAATGTGTGTCCATGGTATGTTTAATTATGTTTCTAAACACAGGCAAATAGCTGCATACGTAAGGCAATACAATCAAACGCTATTATTTTATCATCCACGCACCAACAGAACATTTGGAAATCAGCCATTAATCAGAGGTTGTCGAAGTAATCAGATCTTGTTCTTGAGTAAAAGTAGAAGTACTCAGATCTTGTTCTTGAGTAAAAGTAGAAGTACTCAGATCTTGTTCTTGAGTAAAAGTAGAAGTACTCAGATCTTGTACTTGAGTCAAAGTAGAAGTACTCAGATCTTGTTCTTGAGTAAAAGTAGAAGTACTCAGATCTTGTTCTTGAGTAAAAGTAGAAGTACTCAGATCTTGTACTTGAGTCAAAGTAGAAGTACTCAGATCTTGTTCTTGAGTAAAAGTAGAAGTACTCAGATCTTGTACTTGAGTCAAAGTAGAAGTACTCAGATCTTGTTCTTGAGTAAAAGTAGAAGTACTCAGATCTTGTACTTGAGTCAAAGTAGAAGTACTCAGATCTTGTTCTTGAGTAAAAGTAGAAGTACTCAGATCTTGTACTTGAGTCAAAGTAGAAGTACTCAGATCTTGTTCTTGAGTAAAAGTAGAAGTACCAGAGTGTAGGAATACTCTGTTAAAAGTAAAAGTCCTGAATTCAAAATGTTCCTCAAGTGAAAGTAGAAAAGTATTCTCATCAAAATATAGTGAAAGTAGCGACAGTAAAAGTAGTCATTGTGCAGATTGGTCCGTTTCAGAATAATATATATGATATGTTTTTATAATGATTGATCATGAAAGTGTTCTCAAAGCTGGTAAAGGTGCAGCTAGTTTGAATGACTTTGTATACTGCAGGGTAGCTTGTGGATTTACTCCAGGAGGAACTTAAGTCTGATTTAAGTGTTGATTACATGTCACATAATTAATCCAAATCTCTAAAGTAACTAAAGGTTTTAAATACATGTAGTGGAGTAAAAGTGGCTACGCTTTAAACTCTAAAATATAGTTACAGAAAGACAGACAGACAGACAGACAGACAGATATATACATAGAAAGACAGACATACGGACAGACTGTCTTCTGTACTTTCTGCATGTATGAACATAATAATATACGTATATTTGTAACGCAGTCTAAAGGCAAAGACGTAGAACCTTTATTTTGAAGGGTACAGCAATTGGTTTTGACAAACTATCGGTGAGCTGGATGCAATCCTACCTGGAGGGGAGAGAACAGATGGTGGAGGTAAACGGTACTCTGTCCCCCCCCCTCCCAGTGAGCTGTGGTGTTCCACAAGGAAGCATATTAGGTCCGTTACTGTTCCTAATTTATGCAAATGACATGTCATCAGCATGTGACTGCAACTTGTTCCTGTTCGCGGACGACTCAGCCCTGCTGGTCTCTGACAGGAGCAGATTGCAGGTTGAAAAAACCCTCAGCTCCGAGCTCGGCAGAATCTGCACCTGGCTCGCCGATAATAAATTATCATTACACCTGGGTAAAACAGAGTCCATTCTCTTCGGTTCGAAACATAATCTCAGCAAATCCGACGACTTCTCAGTTGCAGTGGGTGACATTATTGTCACAAGTAAGAAGGAAATTACATACCTAGGATCTATTCTTGAGGCAAACCTCTCCTGTGACAAAATGGCATCCAATGTAATAAAAAAAGTCAATCAAAGAACTAGATTCCTATACCGGATCTCCTCTCTGGTAAACAAAAACACCCTGAAAACTCTGGCAGGAGCACTCATTCAAGGGTATTATGACTATGCTTGCACGTCATGGTACCATAGCACCTCCAAGGCGCTAAAAATAAAACTTCAAACATCGCAAAATAAACTGGTCAGACTACTGCTTGACCTTTCATCTAGAACCCACCTCACCTCTGCCCACTTTGACAACCTAGGATGGCTTAGAGTAGACGACAGAGTACAGCTACTTGCAATGGGCCTGGTCTACAAGATCCACTACACCTCTATGGTACCCATGTACATGTCAAAATTCTTCCCAAAGGTCAAGGAATACCATGATCATAACACCAGAGGGAGCTCCACAAATCATGTAAAACCCAGATTTGGCACAAAAAAAGGGGAATACACATATCGCAATTATGCCACATCAAGGTGGAACGCTCTTCCCACAACTGTAAAGGAAAGTAAAACTATACTTACCTTCAAAACCTCTCTTAAAGAGCACCTTCGGGGGAAAGCATTGCAAAACTGGCCCCGGTAATGGTACAAATCTCAACCTGTCGTACAATGGACAGCTTCCCCCCCCCATCTATGTATATACTCGCATTTTAGACTCTGTTACTAACTGTATATCTGTAGACTTGGTATGTCTTAAATGTCCGGTTAGGATGTATTAGAACGAAATCTAAAATGAAAATTGTAAATAAGCCATCTGTATGTAAAAAACCACCTGTATGTAAATTGTAAATAAGCCATCTGTATGTCAAATATGTCTTATATGTCTTAAATGATATGATGAATTGGAAATGGGGGACCCTGATGTAAACAAGACGAAAGTCTTTCTCTGGTCTGCATCCCCTTAACAATTGTATGTTTTGAGCTGTACTGTACTGTACTGTACCCAATATACAAGCTGTTAATAAACTTTTCAATCAATCAATCAAACAGCGCAAGCATAGGGCACACTAGCCAATCAGAAGCAAGGAGGCGCTGGAGACGCACCCACTTATGGAAACGAAACATTGAGTGGTATACTTGTTTTAACAGTAAGAACAGAAAAACGAAAAAACGAGCTGAATTTCCGTTTTTTCGTTTTGGGGCAAAATTGAAAAACAAAAAAACGGCCCGTTTCTGTTTTATTATTAGTTTCAATTAGAACTAAAAAACAAACGGTTAAAACGTACCTTCGTCTAGAACACACATCTATTTAGATTTATTTATTTTGAAGTTGTTACTATGGAAACAACATGACGGAGAAAAAAGTAATATGCCTATCTTCTACATATGATAACGGGCAAAGTAAAGAATGAAGTGTATGTTTAAATGTTAGCACCCCCCGAAGAGGCTCAAGCTCTTACGTTGAGTCTGGAGTTTCAATACATTCGGAATTTGACCGTGTAAAATGTCCTCTTGGGTTACCGTACAGCCAATGCGTGACGTCATTGGTAACCGACGGACCCCGAACACATATGGTAGGGCGAACACATGGAACACATATGGTACTTACACCGGCTCTGAGTGGTGTGAACAAAGCGGGAGCAGAAAAGGGAAACCGGAGCTGAACCAGAAAAGCTCTAGCTCGGAGCTAGAAAGGGAAAAGCGCTGGTGTGAAAGCCGCATCTCTGTTCCTGAGAAAGTGTGTGTGAGCTCCAGCACTACTGATCCATCATCTGTGTGTCTGGATCAACCTCTGAATGGACTCTGTGCTCTTTTTTCTGGAGCGTTTACCTCGGACTATAGGAGCTAGCTTAGCATGCTAGCTGGAAACACGTTAGCAACACTAGTCAGATTGAGAGTTTGATGGAGAGAGAAACGGTGTGTTTAACGGAGTCTGCAGGAAAAGGTGATCTAGGAAACATGAGTAAAGTCCAAATGCTGCTGTCGTTGAAGAAGCAGCGACTCACTACTGAAGAGATATTTGCTCTGTTTGAACAAACAATAGCAGAGCTCGAGGAGGAGCTGTCTCTTTCCAAAGAGGAGAACAAGAGACTCCAGAAACTACTGGACGCTGTTTTACAGCCTCAGCTTCGGATACACAGAGCAGGTCTGTTCCCTTTACTCTCCATTAACACTTTAAACTCTTCAGTAGCACTTTTTTATCACATTAACAACACTTTAGACACTTTATCAGCACGTGCTGCAGGTAGTACATCCTGAAGTAAAAGTACAAACACCACACTGTGAAAATACTCCATTACAAGTTAAAGGGGACCTATCATGCAAAATGCACTTTTGTACGTCTTTTCTACATGAATATGTGTCCCCGGTGTTCCAGGGAACTCACCAAGTGTCAGAAAACACAACCCTCTCTATATTCCTCCATACCCAAATCTCTAAAAAAGGGGCTGCAACGGATCTGATAAAAACTGATCCAGATTTGAACACTTTACTGACACAGAAGTGGCGCTACGGCTATTGGGCCAACTCTCCACCTATCAGGGGAATGTGGGGTTGGGCCACGGCCGGCCATTGCCGCTCGAAAGCGCTGGAGACGCTGTAGTACATATGCCAGGCCTGTAAGTGGCGCTGTAGTCTGCCACAAATGCAGCGAAGAAGACTTTCCATAGTTACCATGGTTACCCTTCTGTTTATTCTCCGCTGTGGCTTGAGGCGGAGAGGTGGGTGTTTGTCATCTGCTGGTGGACTAACCGGAGAGAATTACAGTGCTTGCCTCGACGGGGAGGGATTGCATTGAATTAAAGCAGCGGGAGCAAACGCTTGCCTAGGGGAGGGAGAAAGAAAGCCACAGCGGAGAATAAACAGAAGGGTAACCATGGTAACTATGGGCGGGAAGTCTTCTTCGCTGCTTTTGTGGCAGACTACAGCGCCACTTACAGGCCTGGCATATGTACTAGAGCAGGGGTTTTCAAAGTGTGGGAAGGTGAGCCTCCCCTCAGAGAATATAAGAACAGCCGCGCCCCCCCTCCCAATTATTATTGCTATTATTATTATTATTATTGTTGTTGCTATAATGCAGGGGTATTATTATCCAGTAGAATGCCCTTACCTACTGGCCTAGTTAAATCAAAGTGGTTACTTATTTTTGTCTGGGCAGTGTAGTTTTACACACCATCTTATTTGACTTTCTCAGGGCAGACCCCCACAAAGAAAAAAATATATGTACACACGTAAGGTCATCATCTTAACAGTTTTTAATGCTCGAGTCATCCGTGAGCAGAGCATCAAGTTGGCATGCCTATTACAGCTGAATGCGGCGATTACCATCTTGTTCAGCAAAACGCCTCACAAACGTATTAACATCCAAAGCTTTAGTGCGTTTTGATTCAATGCTGAGTACAGCCAAACTTGACAGTCTCTTCTCTGTCATTGTAGACCGCAAATACCTTATTCCTTCCGTGTACTTGGGTCCGAATGCTTCTCGTTTTCTGCCGCCCGTTCAAATGAAATCGCCGCCAATCACATTTCCTCGCTCGCGCCAGGGTTACAAGGCTCGCGTCTTGTGCTGCATTCACTTGCACTCGGACATCA